AAAAAAAAAAAAAAAAAAAAGCAGGAAGCTAACAATTGACAATTTAATTTATAATAATTTTTGTGAATTAACGTAAAGCGTGCTCCCTCCATTATAATTTATGTTACAAAATACGAATTTGCACAAAGTTAAATGAGCAACTACTTTTTAGCCTATTTCAAGTGACAACATATACTCAGACAGCATTCAAGTAGAGATAATCACAGGTCTGATATCATGCAATAACTTCCAAAAACAACTCCTTATAGCACCTCGTACCACGTGTTCAAACACCTCTTACTCCATGCATGTATTCCTCAATTAATGTTTATCTTCCCTACACTAAATGTTAAACTATCCAAAACACCAAGAAGAAAACCATAGCCTTTTCTCATTTTCTCTTTCATCTTCTTCTTGACCTGATCAAAAAAAAGAAAGAGAATGGATTTGGTGAATTCAGTGCTGAATTTTGTGGTACCACCAGCAAGTTTGGTGATGCTGGCGTTTGCATGGCCAGCTTTGACATTCATAAACACGTGTGAATGGCTCTACAACTCTTTCTTTGGTGAAGATATGGAGGACAAGGTTGTCATCATCACTGGTGCTTCTTCTGGAATTGGAGAGGTAAAAACTCATTTAAAGGACTCTCATCCTTTTTGTGACTTGGAATTGTTAATTTCTGTGTCAGTTTCATTTCCTTCTTACCAATAGATAGTACAATTCTTAAGTTGACAAAAAAGTGCAGCCGTGCAGTGCACGAAGCATCTCGCATTCACATAGCGATGGGAAGGCCTTCCCCACCCAAAGGATAGTGTGTGACGTAGGAAGCCTATTCTGACACGGTTCGAACACGTGATCTACAGGAAGATTTTACCTTTGCTTCAAGGCTCCCCTTAGTACACTTCTTAAGTTATTTTTGAAATTTAAGTCTTTTAAGTTAACAATTGGAATTGAAGAAATCCCAAAATTAAAGAACAAGAAGAAGAGGGAGGAAGACACTCTTTGCCTGTCAAATGGACTTTGTTAAGGTACTTGGATACTTGCATTCTGTACCAGAAACAGGGGTCAATTGTGAGTAATTTACATTTACTTTGTCATAACATGAAGACAAACTACCTTTCTAGTTTATAAAATTACTTGTAACCACATTAACTAATGATACTTACTTAATTACCTCTTAAAATCACTTTAGCTGAAACTTCACCTTAGCACTAAGGGCCTCCTTCAATTTCTATTGTATAAAATTACTTAAATTCCCTTACTAAATCACCTTTAGCTTAGCTTGTTATAATCACAAGCTACTGTTTCACCTTTAACTTAAATTATAGCTACTGATTCGGCCGAACCCAGTAGTTTTGGCTTAAAACCCTATATTTGTGTTAAAACGTCATAAAATATGTGTAAATAATCTATTCAGAACCTAGTAAACAGAAAAAATTATGGTCCGGAAGCCATAAACTAAAAGTCAAAGTTCCGCCTGACAAGACATGTTAAAACGTATTATGTGATGCCATTCACCTTGTCAGCTTTTTGTAACTACGAAAATCTCCATATCTAGCTTATAAACATTCTTTAAATGTACCTCCAATTCTAGCGTATAGGATTTCTTTAAACTGCTTTATGTGATTATATTTTTAACTTACCAAATATCATTTTCACAAATTTCAATTATATAGGTTATAATTTGAAAATTTTGGTTCTTTACCTAGAAGATGCATCAGCATATACATTTAGGGGGGAGCATTAACTATTTATGTGACTGCATAAAGACTTAGTATGCGTTTGGACATAAAAGTTGTAAGTTCTGAAAAAAAATAGTATTTGGAGTTAAGAGTTGAAAAATGGTATTTGGAATTTGAAATTATGTTTGGACATGCATTTCATTGTAAGTGGGGGAAAAAGTTTTTTTTCGAAAAATCTCCAAAAACTTACAAAATTCCATGGACAAACACATTTTTGAAAAACAATTCTGAAAAAAGGAAAAAAGAATATGTGGACAAATGGGTCCTTAATTTGCCGTCCGGTGTTAAAGCTGCAAGCGTGCTAGTCTTCTGTTCTTCTTCTTGTACTACTACTTTCTTGTGCATGAACACTATTGGACAAGTTACTGATTCTTTGATTTTTTTCTGTAATATTAGCAAATAGCATATGAATATGCAAAGAGGAAAGCCCATCTAGTTCTGGTTGCACGAAGAGAAAACAGACTCTGGGGAATCAGTGAGAATGCCAGGGGACTAGGTGCAAAAAGTGTCCTCACAACAGCTGCAGATGTTGTTAAGGAAGCTGATTGTAGGAGATTTATCACAGAGACTGTAAATCTATACGGGCGTGGTAAGTACTTCTCATTTCATGCAAAAGAGACCCATCTCCAAGTTTATGTTCCTTTTGTTTGCATTATGCAAATTGGTCAACCGGAAAGCAAAATAAGGATGGATATAGTACCTTGTATACAGGGGCGGAGCTAGGGTGTCGGCTACATGTTCGGCCGAACATGTAGCTTTGGTTACAACCGTGTATTTGTCTTTAAAAATTTCTTGAATATGTATAAATTATTAATTTAGAACTTAGTAACTTAAAAGAATTATAATCCCAAACCCATGAGCTTCAAATCTTGGCTCCGCTTCTGTTTGTATAGCTTGGCATGTTTCAATCGTGGAGAATAGCACCTAGTAACCAAACAGTTGTCTGAATTTTTTTTTTGACAACAATCTCCTTTCATTTCCCTATTTTCAGTGGATCATCTTGTAAATACAGCAAGTTTGGGTCATACTTTCTACCTGGAAGAAGCCACAGATACAAATGTCTTTCCCATTTTGATGGTATGTGAAGCTTTTGCAAGAGATCATCCACGATTTTCTCTTTTAGTTTTGATGCAGTTATGTTGGTATAGCGATTTTTCCCAAGTTTGTTGCTACACTCAGGGATACACCTTTTTCATTTATCTTCGAATATGTTTCCAATTTTATAGAATTCTGAATATTGTCCATTTTTCAGGATATCAACTTTTGGGGAAACGTATATCCTACCTATGTAGCTCTACCTTACCTGCGGCAAAACAAGGGCCGAGTCATTGTGAATGCTTCAGTAGAGAGTTGGTTACCCTTGCCAAGGATGAGCCTATATTCTGTTAGTAATTCTAACCATTGCTATTTATTCTTCAAAACTGAATTTGTCTAGTTTGAGAACTGAATTACTCGAGATTTCTTCATCTTCCTCCTATTCCCATCTTCCCTAAGAGATCCTTTTTTATATTTCCCCTGAGAGATTATAATACTTTTATCACATCTTCTTTTTGTAAAATAGGCAGCAAAAGCAGCACTTGTAAATTTTTATGAGACGTTGAGATTCGAGGTGAACGGTGACGTAGGGGTCACAATAGCAACACACGGATGGATTGGGACTGAAATGACAGGGGGAAGATTCATGCTAGAGGAAGGTGCTGAGATGCAGTGGAAGGAAGAAAGAGAAGTAAGTCTCTCTTTTCCGAGAAATGGCATTCCTTGCCGGAGATTGCTTTGTAGTATTTTCTCGCTAAATTCTCTGTCTAAGAAGCACGCAAACATTGTTTTAAGGAACAAAAACATATAGCAGCCTTCTCCAAAGACCTGTCTTCCAAGTGCTCAGGGTGGAGTAGGTTTAAGTATTATACCGTCTGTGCGTGAAAGCTGAACAATCCGAAAATTTATAACTAGCCGTAGTTTCAAGGAAATTTGAGCATTATTTGTTTTAAGGAACAAAAACATATAGCAGCCTTCTCCAAAGACCTGTCTTCCAAGTGCTCAGGGTGGAGTAGGTTTAAGTATTATACCGTCTGTGCGTGAAAGCTGAACAATCCGAAAATTTATAACTAGCCGTAGTTTCAAGGAAATTTGAGCATTATTGAACTGAGAAGTTAGCTCTTCACAGGGTTAATGCTATTAAGAGTCGAGCAAGATCATATAACTACATTTGTCTTTATCATTTATCACGGATTTCATTACCTTTATTTTCTGATATTCGTGGGAACTTTTGGTAATATTTTATCTCCACGCAATTAAAGTTGATATATGCATTCTCGTGTAAGGTTCATGCATCGGGAAGTTCAGTGGAGGACTTTGCAAAGTTGATTGTGTCAGGGGCATGCCGAGGAGATCCATATGTGAAATATCCGAGTTGGCACGACATTTTCCTTCTCTATAGAGTATTCACACCAAATGTTCTTCAGTGGACATTTCGGATGTTGCTTGCAGACCAAGGTGCACGGAGGACTTCCTTCATTGGCACGGGAAGGCCTCTCGCTGAGTCAACCTCTCCTCGCAGACAGCCTCTTGCTGAGTCAACCTCTCCTCGCAGACAGCCTCTTCTCGAGCCAACCTCTTCTCCCCGGAGACGAGTGGGGCCTGTTCCGGTTCAGCAGCAGATTGAATGAAGAAAGCAGAACGAGTCATTACTTTAATTTTACAGTGATTGTGTTTGAGGGTGTTTTTTTAGTCAAGATATTGTGGATATCATTGTAAGAGTTCACAAGATACAACCAATACTCGGCTCAATAAACGGATGTACTTGGCTTGTTTAAGAATGTTCGGACTTGGTTGTGAAAAAGTTTTCGTAAAGTTCCTTCGGGATGTTATGTATGGTTAGCCTGTGAATTGTTAGGCAGGGGACTAAGTTATTTTTTTCATTGCCTCTTCCACATTGACATCAACTGTTGTTACACCAGGTTGAGGCTTCACGTTATAAACAATAATCTCTGCAGATGCACCAGATTATACAGCCTCATTCATGCTAATGCTCATCTTCAAAAGTGACTGTTAAATAACAGAGTGTGTCTGAATAAAGAAAATTATACCTAACGGACAAGCTTCTGATTCTTGGTCTAAAAGAGGATTAGTTTGAGGTACTGATTCATAACCACCTGACTTCAACATATTCTTGTCTAAATTGGATCACCTTTAAGAAATTATTTTAGAAAGTTACACAAGAAGAAAGACGATGGCTGTTTCTTTCACCATATTCAGTAGTCAGTAGTATCAATTGCTTGTGAACCTGGCATAAAAAGGGAGTTTACATGAGAATCCTTTCAAATGTGATGACAGGTGTTTCGCAGAACCTGGCTCTATTCTTAAAGTCTATAACAATTCTATCACTTTACTCACACTGAGTGATTGAATATTGCATGTGATTTGCAGGTGTGGATTTTCGTGGACACTAAAACTCATGCACATACATAAGTATTTGTTTTATACTCATAATATGTACAATGTACTAAGTAATAAGAATTTAGTTGGGGCTCACTTTTCCAGAATGCCATTTGATTTATGACTTCGTACAATCATATTTAGAAGAAAGACATTCTCTTACATTTTAGGGGAAAATTACAGTACAATCTGACTGGTGAAGAATTTCTTGGCACAACAGTGTATAGCATATTCAGATTCAACGGTGAAATTGCCTCGCTACATCTCACGTTCTAAAACGAGCAAGCACAATGAATGAGATGATATACACTATGCTACAAAAAATTGGACCTTCCTGCAATCTATAGATCTACAAGGGCTTCACAACCGATTTCCCCGGCCATATGACCAATGTTAGAAGTCCTTCAGCCTAAAATCCTTGGAAAGAAAATGAAAGGATCTTGAACAGCCCATCTGGGTTATCGGCATGTACCTGGAAAAAGAAACACCCTTGTCATTAGGATTAGGATCGCGCGATGCATAATTATGCAATTTCTTTCAGCACGGCAAGTCAGAAGGCCAGTGCACTAAGATTCAAGATTGTTCATCATTGTCGAGGAACAAGAGTAATGGTAGAATAATGAAAGCTCAACTATTACCCTTGTTTCACCGTCTGCTTTTTTTACAGTCAATAGCTATTAACAGCAAAAGAAATGTACCCTAATTTCATCATTCAGAAATTAGTGCGTGTCAGAATAATTATTACGTTCTTAAGAGTTCTGCTTAACATAATCACACTGGAAAGTTATTCTTTCTGATTCAATCAGGTCAGCCTGTTCTCTATGTCAACCGTTTGGGAGCAGAGTGTAGCTAGTCCAGCACAGGAAGAACGAAGGGACACCGTGCCTGTTAAAAACGCGAGTCAATCTAGATACTCCCATCATTCCATTTTATGTGACATTATTTCCTTAAGAGTCCATTCCAAAAAGAATGGCACCTTTTTACATTTGAAAACAAATTAAATTTTAATTTTCTATTTTACCCTTTATGGCATGCTTCTATAGCCACAAAAGTCTCATGGTATGGTTAAAGCCACAAGTTTCAGAAGCCTTTCTTTCTTTCTTAAACTCCGCACCAAGTCAAACTACAACACATAAATTGAAAGGGAGGGAGTATGATAAATTACCAGATTTCAAATCTGACGCACACTTAAAAATGGAAAGCACTTTGCAACTTGAGAACTTAGGCAACATACAGCATAATGTGTAGGACAGAAGCAACCTACCCAATGACCTGCATCTTCAAGGACATGCATTTCAACTCCACCTCCCTCCTCTACAGCTTGTTCCTCAGCAACATGGATTCTTCTGATATCCTCAAGGGCCCACCTATGCAGACTTCTTTCTGCTTTCAAAAAATTAACATGCACACCCCGAGGAACATCTTCCACAATTTTCCTGCGTGAAGATTATCGCAGTAACTATTTTTTTTTCTTTTTTGAGAACGAATTACTATCTCCTCTTTTATAGAGAATCAGCTATTAAGCTTGGTGACAGAACCAAAAATAAAATGAAAGATGTCAAACAAACCATTAATACATTCTTCTATGATTTAACTAACTGCAATGAACTCATTGCAAAGTTATACATTCATTATCATATGAACAGAAAAAGGTGACAGTTCACATTTATTCTTAGCATGTCAATAATTATGCTTTTTAGGCTCAAATAATTCCAGATATTCCACTTTTCTTTTCTTTTCTGTTGTCATGCTAGGTATGAGTTGAGTGACCAGTCCTCCAGTGCATCACCCATAGATTTCATTCAAATTTTTCTGATCATCTTGCTATTCTTATATTAATGTTAAAACTCCATCTTGTCAAAAGACATCCTGCAATTTATCTGACATTTCCATGTTATTTTTCTTAAATTTTTAAATTTGATTGATAGCAACAGCATAGAAAGGCCGTGCATGTTGGTGACTTGTTGAACCACTATTGGTACATGTCCAGTCTACTCCAGAATCGATTGGACAACGAGTAAAGCCTTTTGATGACTAATTTCTTTAAAAAGATACTCTGGTCAAGGAATGAACAAGAAGCCAAAAGAATAATCATAATAAAATCTGCACATTTAAAACTGACATGAGCAACCTACCACAAATTTGTATCTTCGTATGATTGATACATCTCGGCAATACCTTTGAGATCAAATACCCATGATAAATGTGAAGGGGATGAACCAACAGGGTTGGTTTGACGAAGGTTAGTTACCACCCACTGCAAATATACAAAAGCGGCAGTTGAAAAAATTAGAACTGGCCATTCGCGTCTTACGTGCAAGCAAAATTAACAGTTAGAATGATGGTAATGAACAATGATCAGCAAGATGAATCTTTTATTAGACTTACTGCATGATATACTCTATTTACTAAATCATCTATTGTACAAACAATTACATGCTACTTTCATCACGAGTCCGAGCGCTGCTACGGAAGAGAGTCTGGCATTTAAGTGGAGATGGGGTAGAGGGGTGAGTCCATTATCCACCAAGTTCGAGTCGTGTACTAGCTGGACCTCGGAGATTTCTCGGTTATCAAAAAATATTTGGACGTCAACAAGTAGATATGGAGGGTAATTAGCCCCTCTACTTTCCTCAAAGGAAGAAAGTATTGCCCTTCACTGAATTCTCTTCTCCAATTGAAAAACCAACTAAATACAGTGTTAAATTCTTGTGCAACGAGCTCACCCTCTTTGAGAAGTGAAGACAGAGGCGTATCTAGTGTAGACGTAGTGAGTATGGCCGAATCCACAGTGCCTGACTCGAACCTTATATATATGTGAAAAGACATAGAGAATACGCGTATATATAAAGAATCAAACTCACTGCATTACAAGAACGATACAGTAGAATTCTGGACCTATGGACTCTAAACTCTAGATCCGCCTTTGAGAAAGACAGTTAAAATTTTGAGGGGGGGGCTGAAACATTGTGCCTAACCAAAACAATGATCAAGAATATCATTTCCAATAAATCACATGGAATAGTCAAATAGGCTCTCTTTAGAAAGGAAATGTGGTTAGAGAGACTGGGGTGTCATTCTTGTCGTACAATTCTTTTCCTTTTTTTCAAAAACAACTTATCTTCTGGTACTGTACCTTCTGAATCATCAACTCACTTTTTCTATCAGAATAGTCAAGTGAGATTACTGTCTCACTCTCCGGGGCACTGAGAATGGTGGAATACATTATAACTTAAAGAAGTGCATTTGCAATGTGTCTAACAGATTGCTGATATCTCATATCTCAGTTACTAAATATCAAGCGCAGTGCCTCACTAGATGCAGAAAAGTGCCTACGCTTATACATCTTTTGAAGTTTGCAAAGTTGAAATTAAAATGTTAAACCTTTCAGAATTCCTAGGAAGAAAAGATGTGAGGCCAAAAAAAAAATTTGAGGCCAATGGGATACCTGTGCTACATCCCTGGAAAACCCTTCTAGTATAAGAGCCTCCATNGGGGGGACAACATTTGAAAATGATAGTGAATTTATATAGCTTAGGGTAAAAAAGGTTCAAATACGTCAGTGTATGCTATTTAAAGTTATAAAGCCAACAATCCTGCAACATTTTCAACATGCATTAATAAAATAATTAGCCGAGAAGCAAGCTAAAACATAAAGGAGAAAGGCTCTCTCTCCCTTGCTCTGATACATATTCATCTTCTACTTCCAAAATAATGGACAAGATTTTCCCACCAAAACCTAATTCGTCTTTGTCAGAAAAATCCCATCAAATATCACAATCATTCCTTAAACCTAACGCATTTTGTTTTTTTTCTTTCTAACAAACCTAAAGCATTTCCAGTGAACTGTTTTCTGGACTGGTAAAACATTTATAACCAAATATCTACATAATTTGATATGAAGGAGCAGCCATCCACAATTTGATCAAATATCTACACAAGTGGCATCCTGTGAACTCCAGAAGTACACCCCAAAAAAGAGATGCATTGAACAAGAAATTTTCACCCCCCAGGATGTGCTCCTATCTGCTCTTTCCAAACTATACACCATCAGGGAATGATATCACCCTAAGGCCCACTGCACCTCCCACTCCAAATTTCTACTTTAAAGTCTTAAAAAGGAACACATATCTATATTGACACACTAAAGATATCATGGAGAATTAACAACAAGATACCATAAAATTTGTTAACATTCATGTTAGGCAAATATACATGGAGACATTTTTATACAAACTGCAATCACCAAAAGCGCACACCTCTTTTGGTAATTTACTCAGAAATGATATCAATTCAGCTGGATGATCATCTCCATCTGCACCAGCTCGAACCTCTCCTGGAGTAGCATCTAGAACCCAGACCTATGACACAACTAGTTTGAATTACTTCAAAGTATTAGGAGTTGGAAAGAAAAACGCAAAAGGATAGCAAAATAGATCTCAAGAACAAAGAAAGTAAATCAGAACAGAAAATTATTTTCCCTGAAAACCAATTACCAAAATCATCAACCGTAAATGAGAGAACTGTGAGCATATGGTATATATTGCCTTAACTGAGTTTTTAAAATCGCTTTTAATCACTCACAAGTACCAAGCTAAATCCAAAACTCTGTTTGATATTAGTGCAAGTATGCTTGTAGAATTTTGGTATAGAATACTTACTCTAACTGGACGTGCAAGGGGTTTTGCAACCTGCTCAACCATACTCAATGCAACTGCAAGTTTTAAGAAGAAAGATGAATGTCTGAACAACAAATTATCAATTGATTTCTCCAAGTAGCTTTCTACTATAATAAGCTAAAAGTTACCTTTTCCTCCAAAGCTGTGACCAACTACAACTCGCGGAGTCAGTCTGAGCTGGCCAAGCTAGACAAAGAAGAAAGAAAGATTGAGACCAAGCAATGTATAACCATAATCCTGCTACCATCTCAGGCAAGACGCGAAGAGGCAAAACGGTTACCATTTGACCCAACCCAAAACCAGGAAAAAAGAGAGGGAAGAATCATAAGTGGCACACCATTGAAATGACATGGCATATGCTCATATACTCTATTGCCCATATAATGCATTCATGAATTAAAATTTTACCAGCACGTAAGCAACTTCCTACGGAGAATGTTTGGCCAATAATTCAGTGATATTATTACTAGAATTCCCATGAATTTTGATGAATATTGAGTGTGTATAAATTTCATGGAGAACGTTTGGCCAATGATTCAATGATGTTGTAACAACCAACGGATCACTGGCAGTTGAACTCGAAAGGGGGTCGATGTGAAACTTGCCTTAGCAAAATCCCACATCAAGGGGGGGTTAGTAGTCATATAAGAGTGAATTCAAGATTCAACTGTTGAGGCGCCTTTTGGGTTAAAACCCAAGGGCACAAAACCGTGAGGCCCAAAAGCCTTGAGGTGGCCTAGAGGGGTCGGGCCAAAGAGGACAATATTTTGGCAGTCGGGACTGGGCCGTAACAGGTGACAAGACATGCCTTAAAAAGTTCTATTGATACGGATGTCATCGAAATGACACTTGAGAATTGTATGTGCTGAGTGCAGCAGGTCATGGTCAAGAAACTATACCAGCTTTAAGACATCAAGAGCAGCTGATGCAACGGTATGTGGGCCCCTCTTCTTGAGAGATGCTGAATCACCATGGCACCGCAAGTCCACTAGGAGAAACTGCAGAAAAGTAAATCTACTGTGAGATTGTCCCCAGCAAAATCACCAAAATATATATCATATCAAAATAAATCAACCATAAGATATTGAATGATCAGTTAGAGAAGAATGTGAGCTTAAGGATTACAAAGGTGAAAGGAGTCGGAAGCAAATGAATTTCAGGATAGCATCCCCACAAAGAGGAGAAAAGATAGGTTTAAGGATGATCTGACCACAATTAATAGTAGTCTTCAAAAGTTACTGAAAATATTTAGGATAAGCCACAGAAGCTCACATGAAATAGTGCAACACGTTGCAATTTGTTTCTAGTTGCATATCTCAGAAGGGTGATAAAGCACATTAGAACCTTTGGGAGTTTCATATGTTTTGTTATTTGTAGAGCTTCATATATTACTGTTTTCGTTTTAATATTGGTTTTTTGTTCAAATGAATCAATTACAAAAAAAATGTTTTCAGGGCAAGGACTTGATGTGTAGACACTTACATCCCCCTATAACAAATTTTACCTAACATAATTATACCGATGGGCCCCAAAAGAGTTTTCAAAGGCTGTTGATAATGACTTTATGAAGTTTGGAATTGAATTTGCCCCTATATTTTCTTCACAGCAACCAAAGAGAAAAATTCGAGGACGTAACATAGTATTAAGAAAATGTAAACAGCTCAATAAAGGAAAGAATAGAAAAGCAGAGAAGAGGATGGTATTTGTGCACTCTTTACCATAAGCGCTCAGGTGTTGGTTTTATCTAATCCATGGACCATGGTTATGTGAAATCCTATTCCTGAAACTTTTCAATGAGTCCAATCCCTAGCTTATATTATATATATATAAACCCATCTCTCAAGGGTAGTAATGTCAAATCAAATCTTCATTTCTCTTCATTCTTCACAGATCAAGTAAACAACATGCAACAGAACACATTCCCATCCAAATGGGACAAGTTAAACATGATGCAGAGTTCTTTAAAATACTACATGAAGGAATGAGAATAAATGTTTATCTCTACTACCTGCCATTTCGGAAATTCTTGAGCCAATCTCCTTGCAAAGCTTCCTGAAAATTTCAGACTGTCATCGAAATGGTCTAAGATGAGACTATAAGAAGCTTGAAGCAGGAATACTGTTTAAGCAGATTGGAGGAGTTAGGAAACTGTCTAAAGAAGTAATATGTCAACAATTTAACTAGTAATCTCTATGGAAATAAGAACAATCTCTATGCCTCAAGATGTAGAATCTGTATTGCATTCCAACAATAGAAACACTTTTTAAATCATTCCTTTCCATAAGCAAACAATTTTGCATTTCATTGCAATATGAGTTCCCTCAAACTACAGGTTCTTTATCAGAATTCTGACGTCTATTGCAAAATCTTGCAACACAAGAAGATTGAAACAAAAAGAAAAGAAACAAAATTTGAGTAAACAACTGTCCTTGAAGGTTAAAGGAGAGTTCACAGGGAGCGTGATGTTCATGAAACTTGGTTCATGCTTGGGGTGCAAACGAGCCCAAATCTGGACAGTCCCAACTCGACTTGGTAACTTCAACAAGGAGCTCAATGTCGGTTCAAAATTGTGCAAGCCTGAATCAGAGAGCTTGAGCTACTTTGAGAGGAATTCCACAAGGCTCAAGATCAGCTCTTAGGCTTGGAAAACGTCAGACCAATCGGGAAAAAATTCACTCTCCACTTTTGGATAATGAAGAGAAAAAGGAGGCCAGCCCAATAGCTTAACAGCCAAAAAAGATGAACATTATTAATCTACTTAAAGGTCAATTGTCCTAGATAACTTTATCTTACTCATATTCCCATTGAATATATACTTGATAAAAGACTTAATAGTTGTTTTCTTGGCAATCTAAAAATGCTTCAAGTTGATATACTATGAGGCAAAACTTAGACAGAGAGGCTGTCCTGGGCAGAAGCTCATATAGAGAAATGAAGGCGGGGATGCAGGAGAGAAGAAAAGGGCCAGTATCTGGGGCTGATAATTCTCCAAAGGAAGCTACACAAGAAGTTTTTCCCTAAAGAAAACAATTAAAAAGGAAACCAGTCTGTCGAGTGCCGGGAAAGGCGAAAGGCCATGCTAAGCACGAGATGAAGCTGTATAACCCCTATATCAATGGGTTGGACCTAACAAGAAAGGAGGAAAAGTGAAGATTTTGAGGGTTATGCAATACTCCAACAAAGGATTGAATATAAAACTAAAAATGATACAACATAATTATATCCAGCTTGTACTTGCAAGCGCGACAAGACAACCATTAGCAAACTCGAGCTTTGATCAATTAGCTAGTCAAGCCAGCTCAAACTCAAAATAAGACACAAGTTTTGAGGTCAAAACAAGCAGAGCTCAAGCAGCCTACAACCACTCCAGTCACTTTTCAACAAAAAGAAAAATATAAGTGTGCTACCAGCCCAGTCCTTTTGCAGCTCTAGTTCAGTCATTGCGAGCTTATTAAAAGAAAAGTGTTAGACATGTGACCATCTTATATGATCTCGTCAATATGGAAAAGCTGACTCGACAATATAAAAAAATATTGCTAGAGTTGATGTGCACGAAGTACCGTATTTAAAATTGAATTTTGAAGTTAAGCTTGTTTTAGAACGGCTCCGCCTATATGAGCTTCGCATAGCATATCATGTATCATTCCGGATAAAAAAGGTTTATGATAGATTGACAACCAACATAAAATTAGTCATTATAAGTTTAATTATGATGAATCATTTAAGTACTAAAGAGCTTGAATAACTGAAAAGGATTTATAGGATTCATATAGCTAACCCCAACATAAAATTTGTCTTTTTTTTATCAAGAGAAAGGGAATGGGTATGGAAAGAATTACTCTGTGCATTTGGAAAATTAAGGAATTAGATGGCACGTGAATTTGTTTTCATGCCTCATTGCTAATCTGGAAATAATATCAATCTCACTAAGACATTCTGGCATTTCAACAATTCACATTTCAAGCAAAATGCCACCTGCTAGTTACATAAGAAGGCTTGACTGAAAGATGCGCGTGCAATTTTCATATATGCCATCAGAAACAAGGACAAGAAAGGATAGGCACTCTGAAAGTATCATGAGTAATTCAGTGAATACACAATAAATGAGCATTTGATGTGCCATAATTCACAAAAAAAAATTAAATAAATGATTACCCCAGTTTTTCCTGCTGCCAAGAATACCATGCAAGAGAACAGCAGTTGGTGGTTCAGGCAAAGATCCCTCCATGATATAACTCCATCTTACCTATACATCCAAGTTTTCATTGTCAATGGCAACTCAAGTGTAAATCAGCAGAAAAACTCTTAATGTGCTTGAGAAAATACCAGTCACTAGTTTATTTTGCATATTGATGAGAGAATAAGTGAAGCAAACTGGAAAAAAAAAATTGAACTGTACAAATTTATGAAAATATAATTGAGCTAGAGAGTTGAGCAAGTTTTCTGAATAATGAATCTTTATTTCTTAAGACTATGAAAATATTTTTCTGAAGTCATAATTTTTAACAATTATGATGATATCCAGCAAAACGGGATGTCTTTATAAAGTTATATCCACGCTACTGAAGAGGAGGATGATTCAAAATTGAGCAGGAGGTCAATTGTCATGCCTTAGGGGAAATATATGCTATTCATTTAACAATTTGGTATGTTGTTTTATTAATAATCATAGAACTGATACATCCCACATGCATACTTCACAAACAAATACAAATGCAAACACAGATTAAGAGAAAGAAAAATATAGCAAACATAATACAGTTACATTTCAACTCAAAATAAAACTTACTTTTGCTCCTTGGACGAGCTCATATGCCTGCATATAAAAGTCATCTCATCACTAGTAGTTTCAGTTGCACGTCAAACAACTTTGGTACTCACACTCTTCAATAATCACATTTTATAGAGAACAACAATTACTTTGCTACTATATAGTTCGTGAAAGAAAGCAGATACACCTTCCACAATTTTATTTTATTTTTTTTTTATAATTTATCTTCATCCAGCTTTTAAAGTTCCATTGAACTTTCTCATGAGTAACTTTCATGTAAAAGTGTTAAAATAAATACATAATTTTGTCTTTTTCCTCTGTGAAACGAATACTTAAAGAAACAAGAGTATAAGTGAAAAGTAAAAGAGAATGTCATTTCTTAACAATTTGCTTGGAGACAAAGAAAAGGAAGAAAAGCTATGCTCAAAAATGTTTTGTGTACAATCCTTCTGGAGGGGCAAAATAATATGCAGTGTAAAAGGTCATAAATTTGATGGAAAGCCTCAAAACTTTTACTAGAAGTATAAGCACAGTCAACTCAAACTATCCAAAATAAGTACACAATAATAATAAGAGAGGAGTGCAGATCCAGTACCAATACTTCAGATGGCACAACAACCTTCCCACTGGAAAGTCTCTCATCAACCATTGTCATTCTTATATTTGAACCTTTAAACATCCTTTTTGAATGAACAAGAGACACCTGCAAAAGAGCAAAGTGAAGCACAACATTCCTCATAAAATGCAAAGCTGCTCATGATTTTAAAATATAATCCTTTTAAGTTCCAATCACCAGGTAACATTTTAATTATTAAGAAACTAAAAACAAGAACAAATTGCTCCTATTTTCTACAAAATTACCTTCTGGAATGGTCTAGAAATATTCACTTTCTTATGAATCAAACCAAGCCCGGGGGAGTCTTTTGTTAATCCAGCTACATTTTCGAAACGCCGGCACGCCGTGAAATTCGAAATGGCCGACATTTCTCTTAGAGAAGAGATCGCTGAAGAACACCGCCCAAATTCTCTCTTCCAATTAACTTGGACAGCTTTACAAGTATGGAAGATGGAAACAAAGTATCAAACTAAGTACAATGAATTGGAAGATACAAAATGGAGAAATAGAAAATGCGACGGAGAGACCGAGGGAGAGCGTGGGGATCTCCTCTCTCTCACACACACACACACACTTTCCCCTTCTATTTTCCGTACTCTTGTAAAGAGGGAATTTCTTCAGCCAAGAGATTTGTGGTTGTTGGCTTTTCTTGTATTTCGTCAATAGCGCGCCGAAATTAAATTATTTCTTTGATCACTAAAGAATGACATCTATTACATGGAGTGTAAAGAATTGTATCAGAAAAAACATGGCACAAGTATAATTTTAGATAGGCCAAACCCACATAAAACCCATTCTAAGTTGTATCAGTTTTTCATTTTGAAAATCTATCTCCTATTTTGGCCCTTCAACTCTATTTCTTATATTTCATTTTTAATACAAAAGCTGAAACCAGTGCAAAAATTATAGCGCGTGTGTATACACAAATCTGAAGTGTAATAAATATCCAATTAAATGTTACACCTGATTTTTTCATCATTTATTTCATATAAGCTTGAAGTTTGAAGTGAATCCATGTCTCAAATAAAATTATTTTTTCATAATGGAATGTATATTTGTTCTTGTGGATTTCAAGTTGAGTATCATGGACATCAAAAAATTCGGGTTAGGTATTTTAGTATTGACCCGTTTGACAAGGATGAGCAATATTTAATTGGATATTTATTACATCTCAGATTTGTGTATATACACGCGCTATATTTTTTTGCACTGGTTTCAGCTGTTGTGTTAAAATAAAATATAAGAAATTAAATTGGAGGGCTAAAATGGAACAAGGTTGAGATAGAGTATCAAAATGAAAAATAGAGCCAAGTTGAATGGGTTGCGTATGAATTTGGCCTTTTAGATAATGAAAAATATTTCAAAGATTGTGGCAGAGGATAAAAAGTGCAGTACTGTAGTAATAATATTTGCTGGGTGAAAATACAAAATTCTTTGATTGCATAAACTTATTTTTTTAACAATCAGTGTAGATCTATTAATCATTTCTTTTATGATTTTAACACGGTATTATTATGATATATTAATTAAACCCCACTAAAGCAGATGCATAAGCAAGATCAAAATTCTCTCTTTTTTTTGTTGTGAGAAATAAGACATTGTAAGACTAGAGAAGTGTCCATAATCATTAGTTACCTAAATTCGCTGTTCGGACTAGTTTTATTGTTGACGTGGAAAAAGGGTACTATAAAGTTTTAAGAGAGTTTTTATGAAAATGTTTGAAGGTTAAAGGCGTATATGTAGGATATACCATGGCGATTAAGGATATGTACATCAGAGCCAAGATTGTAATGATCCGATCGGTCTTTTTGAGTATTACAACTTTTTTTTCTTATTTATTGCTCAAATTATGCTTTACGGTTGTTATTTGACTTGTCGGGGTAATTGGTTCGGGTCCGGTGAGGTTTTGGAATGATTTGGAATACTTAGTTCCAAGGTTTAGAACTTAAGTTGAAAAGGTCGACCGAATGTTGATTTATGTGTAACGGTCCCGAAATATTTTTGCTAAGGAAATTAAGGTTTTTGTGGTGCCGAACTAGATTTACGTGTTTGAGAATTGTAGAAATTCTTCGCGGAGAGCAAGCTCGACGTGGTACGGACTTTTGGGGTTGAACAATGCGTGGGGGTAAAGGAAAATTTTTAGCAGAAAGATGCGTTTCTACGGTCCACTTTGCGGCCGCGGAATCACTCTGCGGGCCGCATAATGGCTGCAGAATTGGCAGAAGCTGGGCAGGTGTGAATACAAATATGCGGTTGATTATGCGACTGCATAACTATTTTGCGGTGCATTATGCGACCGCAGAACAGGTCTGCGGACCGCATAGTGACCGCACACCCGAGCAGAAAATACCCAGTTCCGAGGAGCCATTTCGCGAGCCGCAAGAGCATTATGCGGTCGCATATGTGACCGCAGAGTGTGTTTCGGAGCTTCATTTTTCTGGTTTTATAAACCCGACCCCATTCTCATAAAACACTATTGGAGATCATTTTGAAGGGTTTCATCTGATATTTTAGAGAGTAGTGAGAGCATCTTAGAGAGAGAAGGTGAAGATCTAGTCATTTGTCTGTCAATTCTTGTTTAAGGTTTCAAGATTTCACAAGAATCTTGCTAGGGCTTCAAAGAGGTAAGAATTTCTAACCCTGGTCTTCAATTTCAAGTTTGGGTAAAGATAGGTGATTGGGAGTATAATTCTTGGGTGTGAGAGTATTATTTATACATACACGTACCAATAAGGTTTGTGGAAAGATTGTTGAGTTCAAATGGGTAAAGATCGGATTGAAAATGGTAGAAATCTTCAAAGACTTTAATTGAAGATTTGAAGGTCGAGTTTATGTCGGAATTTGGTGAAATTTATATGGTTGGACTAGTGGTTGGACGGGTGTTCATGTTTTGTAACTTTTGTCGGGTTCTGATACGTGGGGCCCACTGGTAATTTTTTAGTGTAATTTTAGATTTTGTTGGAAAATTTATATTTTCATATGGAATTAATTCTTATAATTCGTATTGACTAAATCGAATTATTTGTGACTAGATTCGAAGCATTTGGAGACCGATTCGCGAGGCAAAGACATAGCAGAATAAAGAATTACACGGTTTGAAGTAAGTAGCAGTTCTAAATTTGGTCCCGAGGGTATGAAACCCCGGATTATGTGTTATGTGATCGGTTTTGAGGTGACGCACATGCTAGGTGACGGGCGTGTGGGCGTGCACCGTAGGAATTATGACTTGGTCAAATTCCATGGAACTGTGTAGTTGAATAATCTGTTGTTATTTGTACATTCTCCATATAGTAGAGAAATTGAACCACAAATCATGTTTAGATTATGTGTTGACACTGTAGGGACCCATAGAGGTCGTGTACATGTTGAACTATCTGCTAAAGTATTATTTTTGTACTCAGTCATACTTTACTTGTTTATTTTATCCCAGTCTCTATTGTTCATTATTGATGCATCATATCATTATTGTTTGGGTTGATTTTCATAATTTTTGAGAGCCCGAGAGACTGGAGAGATTTATCACTGAGTGAGTCCGAAGGCCTGATTGTGAGATATATACTATAGCATGTGATATTATACTATAGCACGTGAGTTGTCCGTGCGGATGCAGATATTATGCTATAGCACGTGAGTTGTCCGTGCAGCATGTGAATTATCCGTGCAGATCGAGATATTGATACTATAGCACGTGAGTTGTCCGTGCAGCATGTGAATTGTCCGTATAGTACGTGAGTTGTCCGTGCGGATTATAGCGCTTGCGTCGAAGGAGCCCCTCCGGAGTCTGTACACACCCCCAGTGAGCACGGGTACCTACTGAGTGCGAGTGCTGAGTGCTGAGTAAATGGAATGGCTGGGTGACTGTGATCTTGAGAGGGTGTATTTGGTTTCATTATTGTTGCACTTTAGTTGTCTTATACCACTGTTTTGAAATTTTCTGGGAGATTATCTTATGTTTCAGTTAAACTTGACATGAAATTTCTGTTTTGACATTAAATGTTGAACTTGAAAGCATGCATACCTTGTTATGTTGGAAATTACTATAATTGGACTCAGATGTGAGGCTCGTCACTACTTTCAGATCTTTATTTAGTATTGTTACTTGCTGAGTTGGTTGTACTCATACCACACCCCGTACTTCGTGTGCAGATCCAGGTATTTTCGGACACAGTGGGTATTGATTTCTCTGCATAGTTGATTATCCGGAGATTCTGAGGTAACTGCCGGTGTTTCGCAGACCTTGTATCTTTTTCCTTATCTTCTTGATTACTGTATTTGGTCTCAGACTATTGTAGATCGTGTTTTCCAAACATGTGATGTATAGATGCTCATGTACTCTATAATACCCTGATAGTTGGGAATTTCGCATTTTATTTTGGGTTTTCTATCCCAGTTATGCTAATTTTTACTACTAAAACTGCTTTAAATTCATTATTGCTAAAAGTGTTGGAAATATTTGGGAGAAATCGGCTTGCCTAGTACCATGTTAGGTGCCACCACGACAGGTTAGGATTTTGGGTCGTGACAAAGATACGAAGGACGGTGGAAGGAGATTCATAATACTTTCCAGTCGTGATGGGATTATATCAGCCCCGTTTTTATTTGCCTTTGCGATGGATGAATTAATGTGGCATATTCAAGGGGAGGTGCCATTGTGTATGGTATTTGCAGATGACGTTGTACTGATTAACGAGACGCGAGTTGGTGTTAATGATAGATTGGAGATTTTGAGACAGGCCCTAGAGTCTTAACGTTTCTGGTTGAGCGTGACTAAAATTGAATACTTGGAATGCAAGTTCGGTGACGTAACTTATGATGCTGACGTGGAAGTGAGGCATAATACACAAGTCATCCCCAAGAGAAGAAGTTTTAAGTATCTTGTGTCTACAATCTAAAGCAATGGAGAGATTGATGATGATGTCACACATTGTATTGTAGCGGGATGGATGCAATGGAGGCTCACATTCAATGTCTTGTGTTTTAAGTATGTACCACCTAGACTTAAAAATGTACATTTTATAAAGTGATGGTTTGACCGACTATGGTGTATGGGGTGAAGTGTTGGTCAGTCGAGAATATTATGTCTAGAAGATAAAAGTAATAAAAATGAGAATGTTGAAATGGTTGTGTGGGCATATTATGAGAGATATGATTAGAAATGAGGATATTCGGAACAAGGTGGGTGTGATGACCCAAAAATATCATCTTTAAATTTAATAATTAATTTTATGTTCTAAGACCTCAAAAATCACTATTTATCATTCCTCGACTTGCGTGCACAGTCCGTAAAATTTTCTGGAAAATTTTTATGTGAAAAATGGATTAAAATATGAATTAGAGCTTTAAAACTCAACTGAGTTAACTTTGGTCAATATTTTAAGCAAACGGACTCGGATTGGTATTTTGACAGTTTCGGTAGGTCCGTATCGTGAATTGGGACTTGGGCGTATGCCCGAAATCAAATTCTGAGGTCCCTAACTCGAGATATGTAATTTTGAAAAAAAAATTAAAAGTTTAAATTCAAATAGTGACCGGATGTCGAATTATATGCAAACGACCCCGGAATAGAATTTTGATGGTTCCAACAACTCTGTATGGTGATTTTGGACTTAGGAGCGTGATCGAAATTTTATTTGAAAGTCCGTAGTGAAATTAGACTTGAAATAACTAAAATAGGAATTTAAGTTTGGAAGTT